GATTGGCACAAAGAGACCAAACAGAAAGCCCGGGATGGACAAGCCTCGCCCGAGGAAGCTCTGGTGTGAACTCTGTTTTCCAGTATTCGTGAGCAGAAACCCTACCTCCTGTTCAGCCTCTGCCTCATCCCTGCTTAACCAGAGGGAAGGGTGCCGCGTGGCTTTCTCGGAACCGTTCTGCAAGTCTCGGTGATGAGGGCGAGAATTCTGACGTCCGCGGGAAAAGAGGAGACTACAACCTGGAAACGAGAGCCAGACTGATTTTTTTGATCCATAATGCCTTTTTTTTCCTCCTGATTTATTCTACTGTAACAGCCATACATGCTTATTTTAAGAAGTGCAGCAGAAAGAAGAAAATGAAAACTCCATCATCCCATTATCCAAAACAACAATGCGTTGCTAGGTGCCGAGGCCGCCACAGTGAACAAGACGCGGCCTTTCCTTAGGGAACTTAGACTTAGTGGTGCTGACAGACACCAAACACAGCTGTTTTAACTGCATTCGTGATGAGTGTTGTGCAGTCAACACAATGATGGTTTGCAATTTTTTATCGCGTACTACATGTGAGGCATTATACCAAGTGCTTTACACGTGGTTAAGTGTTTCGTGTGTACTGATCCGCTGTCTTATTCATCTTTACAATGACTTATGAGGTGGCTTAATCACTATGACAGCCCCTTGCACGTGTTACAGAGAAGATACCAACTCAGAGAAGTCGGGTAACTTGGCCCCGGCGGCACAGCCTGGCACCCGAATTCAGGCCAGCACAGCCATGTCGCTTCTCTGCATCTCGAGCATCTCTAACGCCAGGTGTGGCTGCGTCGTATCCAGTGGAGACAGGCTGCTGTTTGTGCGAGCTTATCTCTGGGTTTTATGGGCCTCCGTGTAAAGAGCTCAGGACATTTGGGCTTTGGAGAGGAAATGACTGTAAAAAATTCTCCAAAGGAAGAAACGTTTAGAATTTGGAAGTACATGGCAGGTACAACACTCTTAAGTTGATGACACCCGTTATTTTCTCTCAGACAAGAATTTCAATCCTACAATGGTATTTCAAATGCATCCTTTGTCACAAAACCTATAAAGTGCCTGCGAAGAAAAGGAGTAAAGGCTCTGTGATTTGGGTTTGCATCTCTTATCAGCGACCAGCTGCATGACCTTGAGGAGGTGACTTCTCTCCAAGCCTCTGCTCCCTCGTCCCTGAAACGGGATCCATTCAGCTCGCCTTGGCGAGGCTGCCGTGAGGATTAAATGGACGGTGTGCGAGGGCGCCTGTCTGTGCCCGGCCTGGGCGGCCGCAGGGGACAAGCGCAGCTCATTGTAATTGACTTCCTCAGACCTCTGAAGCCACCCAGCCTCAAGTGATACGTAGCATCCTGCACAGAGTGACGTCCAGCTGGACAATCCCAGCGCCCCCCGGAGAGCCTCGGCGAGTCCAATACCGAGCCCTAAACCGCTCTGTGAAGTCGTACAAATCCTGCCACTGCAGCTCTCCGCGTCACATCGTTCTACGAGGGCGTTCACTAGGGATTTATCTGAATATTCCCACCAAAAGTGTTAGTGATGGTTATAAATACAACAGTGCTTATTTTTAAGTAATTCCTTTAGGGCAGGCACGTACTCAACCTCAGCACTGTTGACGTTTTAGGCCGGGTCATTCTTTGTTGTGGGGGGGTGGGGGGCGGTGCTGTCCTGTGTGTTGTAGGTTCTGTAGCAGCGTCTCTGGCCTCTGCCCAGTAGACACCAGCAGCATTGTTCCCGCATTGTGGCAGCAAAGACTGTCTCTCGAGGGCAGTAGGCACGTCTCCTGAGGGCAGTAGGACCTCGGCCGAGCACTGCTGCTCTAGGACCGTGGCCGGGTACGAGGCAGAAACACGCCAAGAGCAGCAGAGCCACATGGACGCGTGGGCCTGGCCCGTTAGTGAGGCTGTCCCGCTCGCTCACAGCAGCTCGCACCGCGCTTCAGCGAGATGACTCATCCACACACCACTCGGCCTTCAGGGTTCTGGCCAGAACAGAAACAGGAGTGGGGAGGCGGCTTGTCCTTCTCAGGAAGGGGAGAAAGGCGCCCGAGCTAGTGAAACCCTGGGGCTCGCGAACCCGGTTTTATGCAGACAGTCCACAGGCTTCTCGGGAGCACCTAGTCACTAAGAGTCCTCACCGAGTGGGCGCCGTTACAGTTGAGGAGACGGCTCTCCAGCACATTAAAGGGAGAACCGCACAGGCAACCATTGTTCTCAGCAGCTTGTTGAACACACACACACTCTACACCTTTCGTGTACTTTCCGAACTGTCAGTGCCAGTTAAACCTGACTTCTGCTCCTAGTGTCTAACTGGGGGGATAGCACGATGCTGCGTAGAATTTTTCTGAACCTGTAGCTAAGATTTGGAAGGCTAATTTGTCCAGTGTAGCAAATGTGGTACATGCGTAGAAGTTAGTATAAATGAAACACTAAATGTGACAAGTTGCCAATTCGGAATAGCTGTCCGTTGCAGAAATGCGTCATACCAGGTCCCCTCATGGCTACACCCCACCGGTCCTGTCGGTTGGGACATGGCACTGGCCCTTCTCTAGACCGGCATCAGGGCTGCATCTTGTTCCGTCACTACTCGCCGATGCATTAGCCGAACTGCGCTGACCCAGACCCGCACAGCCGCCACCATGCTCCGCCATGTTAGTGCATAAGCAGGCATTTTGGTCCACGTTGACAAACCTCACAAGAATGCTTTTCACAAGCACAGTGTAGACTCTAACATGCTTTCTAAGTCTGAGATTAGCTTTTATTTTTGGCATCCTAGAGTCACTACAGAAGTTAGCTGCAAACTGTAGTTTCAGTCATGGATGGATTAGTGCTTCAGACTCTGGAACATCTATCAAAATAAAGAATGTGAGTCCGAGGTTTAAAGTCTGGAACTTTGGTTTAATTTCTAGATGTTCCAAAGCCTCCTTTTCCCTGTTTGTTTAAATCCATTGCTGATTCTCTTAAAGTTTCATCAAGTAAATGGTACTCTGCAAAAGGCAGGTTGTGTCTGACCTCCTGTGTGTGTGTAGGTACTTCACATGTATCGTGTGTTGCTTGAACTGGGTATATCCTGCTCTCGGGCTGAAGTGTGCTTAAAGTTACAGAATCTATGTGACAGAGCTATTTAGGTATTTCCACTGTGTCAGTAATAGATACATTATAATCCTTCACCAGTATTTTTCTTAGTGAAATCTGGATTATGATAGTTACCTATTCCTTAAGATGGGATTGACATGACTGCTCTGTAACATCAACCTTAGCAAACACCCAATATTTTATGCACACATAATTTTTTAAAAAGATTTTATTTGTTTTTAGAGAGAGGGGAAGCGGGGGAGGGAGGGAGGGAGAGAAACATTAAGTGTGTGGTTGCCTCTCACACGCCCCCTACTGGGGACCATTCTTTGCCTATAAAAAATAAACACAGAAGAGAAGTTATAATATTTGTGTAATTAAAAATTAAATTTTCAATTATGTGTGCATATGCCCTGGCTGATGCAGCTCAGTGGATTGAGCACAGGCCTGCGAACCAACCAAAGGGTTGCCGTTCAATTCCCAGGCAGGGCACATGCCTGGGTTGTGGGCCAGGCCTCCAATAATTAAATAAATAAATAGGCAAAGAATGAGAAGGAGCATCGCTGCTATAAGGGTGAGTGTCTTTGCTTCTGCTGCCTCGGTTCCCCCAGGGCTCTGCCATCGGCTACTGGCAGGGACTTCGGCGTCGCCGGGGGTCTTCCCTTGGTCCCGCCTTGTGTGTGAGCGTTAGTACAAGCTGACTTCTCTGAGCTCTGACTCGGGGGGAGCAGCACGTATCCGGGGAACTAACCGACAGGTCCTTCCTCTCTCAGACTGTAGAATTCTGCGGTTCAAATTTCATCCAGACTCTCCGGTTCTCTGTAGGGTTCCCAACCTTACCCTCAGGTTCTCCCCTAAACGCTTGGAAAAAATTACAGAAAGAAAAAGGGACTCTCTTTAGCACGTCTCCCCCACTTCTGACTTTAGGGAAGTCAATACTCTCTCCAAATCTTTTGAAAAGAGACTATGACAGTCCCTCCACAGAAAGAGAAAGTGGGGGTGAAGGGGGGAGGTGACTGGGGACAAGGCCAAAGTGGCTCCCCTTGAGGGAAGGAGTGCGTCCCTGACATGGATAAAAGGCTTAGAAGTTCGGGGTCCCCTGAGTGGAACCTGCTCCTCCCCGAGCAGAACCCCGGCGAGGGCCGAACAGTGCGCAGCGCGGGGCTGGGCCTGGGCCTGGGTCGAGCTTGGCACGAAGGCGGCTGAGCCACTTGCCTGGAAGAAACCCTGCAGCTCGGCCAGTGGGGACGATGGGTCCGTGACTGTGGGGCCCGAGCGGCTCCCGGAACCTGAACGCTGTGCCCTGTTGAAGGCCGTCACGGAGCCCCTGGGGAGAGCCTACCAGGACTGAGAGGGACTTCCGATTTCAATTTGATTTAGAAAAGTAAAAAAATGGGACCTTTCTTACACCCAAAGGAAACGGAGGGAAATCCCGAGCGTTCCGCGTGGCGCACTCCCAGCCCCAAGTCGCGAAAGGGCGCGCGCAGCAGGAAGGCGACCCGGCGGGCCGCGACCGGGAGAGTCATTGCGGGGGTGACAGCGCCCGGGCAAGGCCAGGCGTCCCCACCGGACGCCTCAGCCCGGGGCGCCGCCGAGGCCGGTCTGGAGGTGGGTCTCTGGGATCTCCGAGCGGAACCCCAGCGCCGCCCCCTGGAGAGACGGGCGATTGCAGGGGGGCGGAAAGGAGAGAAATGGAGGGGGGCCCGCGGCCGCCGAGCAGAGCGGGTCAAACGCCAGGCCTGCGCCGGGAAAACCCACGCGCTCGGCCCCGCGGCGGGTGCGGGCTGGACCAGGCGCCGCGGGGTGTTGGGGCCCCCGCCCCCCGGGCGCGCCTGCGCACTGGGCCGCCGGCTCCCGGAAGCCCCGCGCCGGTGGCGCCACGTCGGTCCCGGCGCAGCCGCCGGGCGTAGCCTCCGCGGACCCGCCATGGGCAGCGCAGCCCCGCTCTCCGCCTGCGCCCCGCGCCTGCTGCTGCTGCTGCTGCTGCTCTCGCTGTGCGCCGAGCGGCCGCGCGGCGCCGAGCTCACCTTCGAGCTGCCGGACAGCGCCCGGCAGTGCTTCCACGAGGACGTGGAGCCGGGCGTCAAGTTCTCCCTCGACTACCAGGTGCGTCTCCCGCTCCGTCCGGTGTCGCCGGGCTCCCGCGGGTTCCCGGGAGGGGGACGCCTAGGCGGGTCCCGCGCCCCGGGAGCTGGCCGGGTGGCCCCTGCAGACCCGCCGAATCCGGCGGGACACCTCTGGGTGGCCGGACACGGGCTTTCTGTCCTAAGCATCCTGGACCGCTGTCCCCACGTGTCCTGAAAATGGCAGCGAGAGGAAGTGGGTTTGTGGTTTTATTCTCCCTCCCGTCCAGCGTTTAACGTCCTCGCCGAGGTGCGCGCAGGAGGGGTGAGAGCGGACTCTTTGGCCGGGGGTCTCGGCGGCGCCTTGGAGCCCTGGTGCTATTTGCAGGGAGCCGTGTGGTGGCAGCAACACGCACTGCTGTTGCCGGTGGCTCCCTAAGACTCCCTGTGCGTGCCCCTCGGACTTTCAAGAGGTCCCAGGGCTCAAGGTTTCGGGGAGCAGGTCCCGCCCCTAAGGTTTAGTGAGCAGAGCCAGGGTTGGGGGGCTGAGTGGGACGCACCCGAAAGCTGCCTGCGCGTGGACCTGCCGGCTGGCACCGCGGAGGCGAGGCGGCACCAGCAGCGGTGGGGACGGCCATGGACGGGCCTCGCGGGCTAAGGGGCCTTGTGCGTGCGGTGGCCTCAGGGTCCCTAATTGGCCCACTTTCACAACCTCGTGGGCAGTGCCCACATGGTGGCTGTGTTAACGGGGGGGGGGGGCGGCCGGGGGGCAACCACCAAAAAGTGGTCATCCCGAGGCGGGAGAGCCTGAGAGGACAGCTGGTCTCGGTCAGGGGTCCCTGCCAGGGGGTCCCAACACCTCCAGCCACTGCAGGGAGCTCCATGCCAGTGAGGCAGCGTCTCCCTTCTCCACAGCGGAAATCCTACGTTCAGAAGCAGGGGAGGCAGTTTATTGTGTCCTTTGAGGGGTCTTAATGGTCTCACGTTACAAAGTGAACAGAGTGATCCCAGGACTGGCCCACCTCCGCCCGTTGCTGGTTCTGGCTGTAGTGAAACCAACATCAGCTGCCTGCTGCGCAGCCGACTTCGCGGGGGACCTCGCTGTCCCATTCTGTAAGGCGGGAGGGAGGAGGTGCACCACGCTCCCGCCCAGCGGGCCCTCTGGGGGCAGGCAGACCAGGCCCCGGCCCTGTCCCTCCCAGCAGCGGGCTGTGGGTGGCTCCCTCGCCCTTCTCAGCCTCCCCGTCCTCTCCTGTGACGCGGGAGCGCAGCAGCACCTGCGTAGCAGGCTGTGCACTTGAGTGAGATGTTTCCGAAGTCCAGTCACGGCGCCTGGCCGGCACCCGGTGGCAGGCGCCTCTGGCAACAGCAGATGGTGGGTGTCTTTGGGGTCATCAGGTCATCAGCGGAGGCCACTACGATGTCGACTGCTACATGAAGGACCCCCTGGGAAACACCATCTACAGGGAAACCAAGAAGCAGTACGGCAGCTTCACACACCAGGCTGAGGTCAAGGGCGTGTACCAGTTTTGCTTCAGTAACGAGTTTTCCACCTTCTCTCACAAGACCGTCTATTTTGACTTTCAAGTGGGCGACGAGCCCCCCATTCTCCCGGAAATGGGGCACAGGGTCACGGCTCTCACCCAGGTGAGTGGCCACACACAGGGTCGGTCCTGGCGGAGCCCCCGGCCGTCCCTCCTCTCCCGCCCCTGTCCTGGCTAGTGGGCAGCCACCACCTGCCAGCTCCCAGCTGGGGCTGTGCCTGTCGTTTCCTGGAGAACGCTGTGTCCTCCTTGCCTTCCTCTCCTTTTCTGGGCTGCTCCCCGCTGGCTTCCTTGCCGAGTTTCCGCATCCCTGCACAGCCCTTCTCCCAGCACCGTCCGGGAGCGCCTGTGGCACGTGCCTGCCTGCTTATGTGACGCGTCTACAGCAGGGAGGCCAGGGCCCCACTCTGTGGTGTTAGGGTAACACCAGCGGCCATGACACACGAACCCCACACGTCAGTGGCTTCACTCAATAGGAGTTTCCCTGCAGTGGTCCAGGGAGTGGGGTGAGGGGTGAGGGCTTTGCTCCGTGGAATGACTCGGAAACCCAGGCTCGCGCTCTCGTCCTTGTCCAGCTGTCCCCTGGGGCCCTGGGCCCTCTGCCTCTGGCCACCGGCGGAGGGAGATAGCCGCAGGCGCACCTGCCTCTTCAACGCCCCAGCCCAGAAGTAAGGCAGGTCTCACATGTCCTGGAGCTGAGGGAGGCCGCGTGGCCAGGTGGGAAGGAGGAAGGGCTGGCGAGCACAGCCCTGGGGGCTGTCCACCCCCGGAGCAACTCCATGCTTGCCAGAGAGATGGCGGGCGCTTCTGGAGGACCGGATGGGCGTCTCTGTCACCCACGGCTCTCCAGGCCGATGGTAACCACCCCCCTGCCCCTGCCCCGGCCGCCTCTGTCAGGCCTCCCTCCTGCTGTCAAGGCCCCAGCCCCCAACATGTAGGCTCTGGGTCGTTTCCCCAGCGCCCAAGGCATGGCCCGGAAAAGGAGCACCTCAGTTGTCAGGTGACTGAGTCACAGGGCCCAGGGAGACCTGCAGGACAGGAGTGGCCATCTGTGGCCGCAGCTGTTCCGGAACTAAAGCCAGAGGACCTCCTGGGCCACCCTCCCACGTGGCCACGTCCTCCGTTTCCCGGAGCGCGGCTGTGGGCTCACGTGCTCCATCACCTGCCTCCCCAGGCAGGTGGGGGCTCGTGGCGTGTGGTCCACTGCAGAGCTGCTCTCTTTGTAATGGCTCATTAATTAACTTAAAAATGTGCCTCCTCGTTCGCTCTCTAGCAGCACTCGTAGAGCTCAGCAGCCACAGGCGGCTGTGCACAGGAAGTTCCGCTGGATGCTGCCGGCAGGCCCGGCCCAGGCTGTGCTGGGATCTTTCACAACCCGCACGGGTGAGAGTTCCGTTGGTCACTGACGACACCGCGTCCGCTCTGGAGGCTTTTGTAATCATGCAGGAGCAGAGCAGAGCAGGAGGGCTTTCCTGTGTAACCAGTGGAGAACCAATTTGCGGAGAAAAGGCTTAATGGATGGCGCAGTAGGAAATTCTTTCCTGGAGGCTTAGAATGAGAGTTTGATTTTGTTGCAGGTGTGATTTGCACTTCCAGACTCAAAACAGGCATCTCCTCCTCCTGTCCTGACTCCTCTGCCTGGAACGGAGGTCCCTCAGCATCTGCCTCTGAGCGCTCTCGCTCACCCGTGGGGGCACTCAGTCCACGCCCGGCGCTGCGGGTGGGGGTGGGGTTGGGGGGTGGGAATGCACGGTGCTGGCCTTGCCCTCAGGGGCACGGTGGGGAGTGTGAACCTGCCGTCACTCAGCCCCGGATGCTGTGGTCAGAAAGAGCCATGATGTCAGGCTGAGGGGTCTCACGGGAGGGAGCCATCGATTCCTCCAGGAGAATCAGAGCTCTTCGCAAGGGGAGGTTTCTCTTAAAAGTGAGGACGTGGGCAGTTTCCTAGGAGTTGTCTGGCTGGGGGAAGAGGTGCCAGCACCCCGCGAGGCGGGGTGCACAGCCTGGGCACCACGTCCATTTTCCCTGCCAGCCCTGCTTCCATTCGACCTGGCCCGGCCGCTGTGGTCCCAGCTCCCCTGGGCTCCCCGCAGCACTGCGGCGGTCCAGGGCCCCCTTTTCTGGAGTCAAGATCAATACGGGGTGAGAGGGCAGGACCCAGAGTGGCCAGAGCCGTGGCCCCGGGATCTAACACTGGCCTGCGTTCCCAGGCGGCCAGGCCCCCAGGGGAGGCGGCATGCACTGCGGGCGGGCCCTGGTGGGGCCGAGGGTTTGGGAGAGGCCGGGCCCGGGCTGCCTCACTGGGGGCCGAGGGAGGTTGAAGTTTTCCCAGACTCCCCCGCTCGGGGGCCAGCGGACATTTCCCTGCCTTCGAGTTCTGTCCCGGGGGCCCTTGTGAGCTGAGGGCTGGCTCTGGGCATCAGCAGGTGGCAGGGTGTGGGGACGGAGGAAGGGGACAGGTCAGGTGTCTCCAGAGACCAGCTGTCACGATGATCTGACCCCCTGAGGCTCCAGGATGCTGGAAACCTGCCGGGCTCGGTGGTCTCGGCAGGGCTGGTGGTTGCCCTCCAGGTGAGCTGGGGACCCCCCTCTCCTCCCTCTGTTCTCTTCCCTCCTCCTCCAGAGATTCTGGACCCCAGGGAGCAGCCTGCAGGTGCCGGCCCATATTGCCGAACGCCTGGGCCAGGGCCTGGGGTCCAGGGAGCTCCCAGGCCAGCGGGCCCTTTGGATTTGAGTGTGCTTGGGACACGCTGAACATGTGTGTATGCCTACACATGTGTGTATGTATGTGGTGCGCGCGCACACAGACACAAGGGGCGTCTCCATCCAGCCCACTCACTGCAAGGAGGATGGTCTTGTTACCAAGTCCTCTCAGCTCAGGGCCCCAAACCCCAGGTCCACTCTTCTCCCCCTGACCTGCGGCCGCCTCAGCTGAGGCCCCCAGCTCTCCTGCCCAGTAAACGTGCAGCAGCTGGTGCTCTCCCTGCCCCCACACGGGTCCCCGCGAGTCTGTCGTCGCTGCCAGGGGTTCCCTTAAAGTGGGGTCCCTTCCTGCCACTCTGCTCCCAGAGCTTCATGACAGAGCCTTGGTCCTTGAGGCTGTTCCTGTGAGATCCTGCCCACCCACACCCCCGGCCAGGCCTGTGCGCACTCCCGGTCCCTGCTCCTGCTGCTCCTGCTGCTCCTGCTGCTCCGCCCGCCCACCTGTGAAGGCTCACGGGGCTGCTCCTGTGTCCGCCCCCCTCCGTCTCTTGCATGTTCCCCTAACCTCACACACCCTCTGTTGTCGACGCTTCTTCACGCGACATTGATTACGTTCACCTTTAAATTGTGAACTGAGACCCAGGACGGTGTCCGAGGCCAATTCATCGCACAGTCCCCTGGGCCTAGAACGACGTCTGGGGGCGAGCAGGCCTTCAGTGAGTGTGCGCTGCAACGCACAAATGGGTGGGGTGGGTCTAGGCGGGAAGACTCCCAGCAGGACGTGCTGTTCTCTCAGTCTTATTTTTCCGGGCATCGTTCCTGAGCCCCGGCCCCCTTCAGTGACTGGCCTTGCAGGGGTCAGCAGGCTGACACAGGCGCAGGGCTCGCCTGCCCGCCGAGTGTCCCAGTCACGGCGGCCACGGGCACACTAAGGAGGCCTCTGGAAAGGCCATGTCCCGAGGCCAGGCTCACAAGCTTCAGCAGGTTACAGCCTCTCCCCTGGCTCCTTCCCGGGTGAGCCCCCTCACCCCTTTCGGGGACCATGGCCAAGTCTTTGAGACCCTGGGAGCCTTCAGTGAGAACACACGGCCCTGCTTGTGAGCAGAGGCTCAGGGCTCCAGGTCCTGAATTCCAACTCAGACCCTGCCACTTGCTGGCTGTGTGACTCGGGGAAAATCACCTGCCTCCTCTGAGCTCCAGGTAGGCTGGCAGGGGCTAAGAGGAGCCTGCGGCATTGCACAGGTGCCCCGTCGGGGGCTCAGAGCCCCACTGGCTGTGTGCAGGCCCCGCTCCCCTCCCCAGGCCCAGCACCGTGACAGCTCCTCTCTTCCCGCGCAGATGGAGTCCGCCTGTGTGACCATTCACGAGGCCCTCAGGACGGCGATTGACTCTCAGACGCATTACCGGCTCCGGGAAGCCCAGGACCGGGCCCGGGCCGAAGACCTGAACAGCCGGGTCTCCTACTGGTCTGTCGGTGAGACCGTCGCCCTCTTTGTGGTCAGCGTCAGCCAGGTGCTGCTGCTGAAGAGCTTCTTCACGGAGAAGCGGCCCATGGGCAGGGCGGCCCCGTCCTAGTCGGGGGGCCCGGGCCAGGGCTCCTGCGGGCTGTGCGTGCGACCCAGGACTGGTGGACATGTGCTCACCTCCTTCTGCTCGGGTGCTTCATCCTCGTCCCTCAGCTGCCAGAGGTCATGGAGCTCAGGGTTTGGAAGGCGTCTCTCTGCAACGCTGAATGAAAAAGTTTACAGTCGGGATAAGGACGGGCCACTGGGGTGGGGGCTTTCAGTGCCGCGGCCTCTGGGGGCACCTCAGGCTGCTCCCTCTGCTCCACGGTGCTGGGGCATCTGGCCTGTGTGGGTCCTGTCTGGGGGGTGGGGCGTGCCTAGGTCTTGCCTTGCCTCCCACGGGGCACCCTGTCCTGAGGAAACCAGGCCCTGAGGCAGCTTTGCAGAACTCCCACCCCAGGTGGCACAGCTGCCAGCCCAGCACGCAGGGATGGCGTGGTGACCGGGTGCCCTTGGTTGTCCGTGTGTCTTCTGGGAGGCGGGACCCTGGCTAATAAAGACTCAGCATGACTACCATGGAGATGGGGCTTGTATTGCGTGGCCTGCGAGGAGCGCGTGGCCCGGTGGGAGTGTGGCTGCGTGTGCACGTAGCCAGTGTCGTCAGCAAGGGAAGCCCTGGAGATGGCAGGGCGCTGTGCGCGGATGCGGGGACAGAGGCGGCGCCCTCTTCCCGGCTGACCAATAGCAGTGAAATGGGCACACGGATACTTTGTGACCTCGGACCCCAGATATCCGCCACAGCCCAGTCGTCGTCTAGGCCAGCGTGGGGGTTGAGAGCAGCCTGTGGCTGTCCCGAGCGCCGTGGGCTCGGCAGCCTCCACGGTGTCTTTGAAACCCAGGGCCGACTGCGTGGGCCTGGCCAGGCCCTCCCTGGCTGTGTGTGCTTTTCAGAGCTCACGGCGGGGCCCTCGCCTGGGCCTGGCGCAGCAGCCCCTTGCCCCTGTGAGTCACCCCCGACCTGCGCCCCTCGCCCACCGCCCTGGTCCCACTGTTGTCTGGCCAGCCCCGCCCATGCCCGGCCACGCTTCCGCCCAGGGCCTTGGCGCGTCACTTCCTCTCGCTGCCTGCACGGCCTGTCCCGCCCGGCCAGACGCCCTGCGGTCAGTGAGCCCCGTCCACTGTTAGAGGGGTGTGGACGGGGGAAGAGCACATTCCAGCTGTCATTTTAACAGAGTCTCCCTCCAAGACATTCTCAAAGGGCTAGTTTTCTTCTCAAGGGCACGGACAGCGATAGGGGACTGGTGTGTTGTGGTGAGGAACACAGCGCCCTCTGAGAGACGCGGCTGCTGTGCGGGGCGAGATGGTGGCCCCCCCGGCAGGTCAGAGCCGACGCTGTCCCAGCGGCCGCTGAGCTGCAAGGGGGTGCGTCTTTCCAGCCGGGGACCCGCCGCCGTTTCTCACGATTACCCCTCTCCTGGGACCACCGGAGGGCGGGGCTCTGAACAAAGGCCGCCTGATCTGGTATTTATGGAGTTTTATTCTGGGCTTTAATATGGCATGGCACAGGAAGTCTAGAAATTGAGCTTCCTCACTTTCAAAGTTCCAGGTACACCTTTGGCCACGGGGAAAATACCGCCAAGGTGATGCCCACAGGCCCTGTATCCCCAGTCTGGCCGGGGTGCACGGTCGCTGAGCTGCCACGCTTGTGTACCTGATCCTCACACTCCCTCACACTTGTGTACCTGATCCTCACACTCCCTATTCTGACCACGCGGCTGTACGCTTTCTATTGTAGGAGCGCCACCTCCCCACAGAGCACAAAGCAGGTACACAGATGTCAGGACTTTACCTGGGGTGGAACTACCAGAAAAACCACTCCCCTGTGACACGTCTTCAAGCAAAACTGGAAGGAGGCTGAGAGGAGCTCCTCAGCTAAACTCACGCAGGGACTGCCGGACCCAGTGGAATGCCGAGCCAGGAGCGAGTTGGGAGAACCCGTTTTTCCGGCTCCGGAGGCTGTAGCAGGCTGCCGTGAGCGCTCCCTACTTACCGAGGAAACGCGAGTTGGAGCTTTTGGGTTATGTGGGAAGCACTCGCCTTCCGCTGACTGCAGCTCTAGACCTAGCACTCTCCTGGCCCTCAGCGCTGGCGCCGCCCGTAACCCTGGGCTCTGGCCTGGCTGCGCGCTCTGCCCCTCGGCTGGCCTGGCTTCCCAGCCCGATGTTTGCCAGCAGGGGAAACAGGCCTCGCGTCTGGCTTTCTGTCACATCGTGGGGCAGTTGCCCAAGAACTAGATAAGGCTTTGCGTCAGTTGTAGGTGCACTTTTGTAAGGAACAGCTCCAGCCCAGCGGCTTGTTCAGTGCACACCCCTGGTGACCGAGCCTCACACGCAGCCTTGTTTAAACTGCCCTGAGAATGAGACCACGGGGAAGGGCCCCTGAACTGCAATGTAACGTTTTCAAAGGAAGTAGCACCGGGTGGTACTCCGGGAGCTTTTCAGGTGTGGGTTGAACGGCAGCCAGTCAGGTTAGCTCCTGTGCGCGCACCTAAGCAACCAGTAACAGGGGAACGGCTGTCGCTCCACAGCCATGCTCTGATGTGATTGCTGTAGATCGGAAGCAGCCTCATAGACGCATAAGACTTGAGACTCTTCATGAAAGTAATAACGTAACAGTAGCTCCTCTAAAACAGCTACCCCGGCCTTGGGCTTTGAGGGCCCCACCGTCCGGGCGGCCAGCGTCTGACTAAACCAGCTCCCTTTACATCCGCACCTGCCTCTCCAGCACGGGCTGTAGAGGGGCAGGCGGCCAGACCCGCCTTCAGGTGTGCCCCGGCTTTGTAAGAGAAAGACTCAGATACCAGAGGGTGCCGAGTGCCACGCTGAGAGCTCTAAGAGGCCGGTGTGACTGAGTGCCTGGTGGCTGCCGCAGGCGGGGAGCCGGCCGGCGATCTGGGCGCAGGGGCCACAGGTGGACCCAGCCCAGGCCTGACGTGGTGCGGGAACCACGGGGAGGGCCGTGTTGTGAGGGCTGCGTAGCCTGGGTTTCCTCCCAACCGAGATGCGTGGACAAGAGGGGACCCTTGGGTCCCCCGGCTCCTGGGGGAGAGGCCGCAGCCGTCTAGGTGAGAGCTGGCAGTGGGCTGGACGGGGCAGGCAGATGGGGGGAGGGGAGGCCCAGAGCAAGGGAGGGGCCTGTGTGTTTGGCTCCAGCAAAGACGAGAGAAAACACCCGGAACAGGGTCAGGGACCGAGGAGGGGACACAGTCCTGCAGGGAGACCCCACCTGCCCCGGCCTTTGGGGGTTTGCGAGAGCTGGTAAGAGCCTGCAGTGTGGCCCGGAGGCTGGGTTTCTGTGAAGGCTGGCTGTGCGGCCGAGCCCCACGCTTGGACCTGCCCAGAATCCCAGGAAGCCCTGACATGTGAGCCGCCATCTCAGCCGCCAACCCCGGGGGCATCCGGAGCCCCTCTCAACACTTTCCCCAGCAAACACGTTAAACCTGCCTCAAAGTGTGGGCAGCTTTTTAGAGCCTCGTGGAAGCACCCAAGTGATGAAAGCTCCGTGGGCTGAAATACCCATTTGACAGGTGAGGAAATGAGGCCACACGCCAGCAGGCATGGGGTGGTGCTAGCGCCCCAGCCCGTCCGCAGGAGTGTCCTGGAGGGGCTCCTAAGCTGGTCGGCGTTGTTGGGGGGTTCAAAGGAGCACCAGCCCAGCCTGTGGGTGTCCGCGCCCCTATGAGCACAGCGCCGCAGACGGGGCCCCTGCCCGAAGCCCCCCTGGGCCTCCACTCAGGCCAGCAGCCACCGCGGGGGGGGAGGCGGGGGGGTGAGGAGAGGGACCTGTGCTGCGGGGTTGGAGTTAAAGGCGTGAGGGATGGTGTTTAGCGTGAACGTATAGAGATGAAGGTGAGTAAACAATGAGATAGGGAAACTTGCGTCTGTGTGAAGTTTACTATTTTAACATTATAATCTTAATTAATGTTAATGTGCATTGATATCACAACTAGAAGCAGTTGTTGGTACTGTTCTGGCACCTTTTCTGTCAAACTGAATTCTTATCAAAACAGTTTTTAACCGAAGAAAAACTAAACAAAACAACACAACAGAGCGAGCGCCTGCACGAGCGCAGGAAGCTAAGTCCTTGCAAGGTCTCAACATAAACCGAACAAAAAGGTACCACGTTTCACGAGAACAGAAGCTCTCACGTTCTGGAGAAAGAACTCAACCAGTGGCAGCCACGCCACGTTCGAGGGTGGGAAGGATGAGCCCAAGGCGAGGCTGGTGCTCCCGCACTGGGGCCTAGGGGCCCCGCAGTCCCTGGCCTGCGCCCCCGTCCGCCAGGAGCGCCTGACGCCACCCAAGTCAGCAGGCCCAGCCCGGAGCCGCCCTCGAGGACACCAGCAGCCGCGCACGAACCGCCTGTCGGGCACCCCCGCTTGCAGCCCAGGCTCTGGGCGGCCCCGCCTGGGTGGTCCTGGGCCCCAGGTGCGTGACAAACACCGTGTCCTGCAGGGAAGAGGCTGCGGCCAGTGTTCCCTCGGGCAAGGTCAGGGTGGGCCAGGGCAGGGAAGAGGCCTGTCTGTGGGAAACTGAAATCGGGTTGGGGTTTTGGGTTCCTCAGAACGCAGAGGCAACCACGGGGTGTCACTAGCGGCCAGCAGCACCAGCCCCCGATTTGTGACAACCACAAATGTCTCAAAAGAATATCATTCGGGGTTATTCCTCTCATGGCTCTTACCTTGCTTTATTTTTTCTTTGATTTATCAACATCTAACACACCCCTTGTTTCTTTGATCATGTTCACTGTCCCCTGAGGGTAGGCGTTTGTTTCTGGTTTGCTGAGTTCGCAGTCACAGGGCCTCACACGGGGCCTCAGGAGGGTCTCAGCCACAGTCTACTGAATGTATGCGTAAGGTGCACCCCACACACGCACACCCTCTGCACCTGGGAGGGTGCACTGACGGAGGGAATGCTGGCCTCTGGGTGGAAAGGCTGGGGGACAGGCGGGGGACCTTCACTGACTCTGTGTCCCTGACGTTTCCCTACCAGTGAATGCGCGATGCCACCTGCTTACCCTCCTGAAACCTTACAGGAGAGGTAGTTTCCTATCCACTGCCTCAGTTAAGGATTCAGAGGTAATTCCTACATATGACCCCATGTTTTAAACAAGTTGAGAAGATCAAAAATGCACAAAAATAAAAGACCTGAACGTGGCCAGGTCATTCCAGTGGGTGGTGCAAACGGAACGGGGAGGGGGTGGAAGCATCGTGCTGGCGGAGCACCCGGCTCCCCGGACGCGCGGGGACCCCGGGAAGCCCTGCCTCCCTGGGGGGCGGCCTCTGGTGCTGTGATTAGGGGAGACAGCTGGGAGGTGCCTCAAAAATACTTTTAAAAAGCAAAAATTAAAAAGTGGAACCATTTTATGATTCAGCGATTGCACCTCTTGGTATTTATCTGAAAAACAACAGAAGCACGGAGTCGGAAAGCTCCACGCGCCGCTGCGCTCATGGTGGCGTCTACGGCGCCACAGCATGGAGGCCGCCTCGCGCCCGCTGGTGGGGGGGCGCT